CATACAACCTTCGACCAGTAATATCCCCCGGAGCTATACCCTGAAAATTTATGTTATTACAATGTAGCAGACTTTAATGAGTCTACAAACTTAAAATACATGAAAATTCCTTAAATTTTATAACATATGTCCTGAATGTGTACAGTTTTTGTATTTTTCTGGCTGAAATATTACAGTACTTAAACGTCTTCACAACATCAAGGAAACACGGGGTGGTGGGGTAGCCTGATGGTTAAAGCGTTAAATTTCGTCCGGCCACCGAAGACCGGGTTCGTTCCCCACATGGGTACAATGTGTGAAGATCATTTCTGGTGTCCCCCGCTGTGATTTGGCTGGAATATTGCTAAAAGCGGCGTAAAACCAAACTCACTCACTCACTCACTCAAGGCAACACATATTGCAGCATATGGCGTGTCCAGTATTGAGAAGAAATTGTTTTATTTGTTGAATACATATTGCCTATCCAAATAAACATGTTGAGGTACATGTAGTTAGTTTATGTCTTCAGTGTGATGATTGAAGTGACTGATTTGCTACACTGATAACATAGACGTTCTAGGTATCCGAGGGTATTCTGGTCTTGGGTTGTAGATAACTGCAACAACCAGGCATGGGTGAGCCTTGCCTTACCGTGTTCAGACACCATTCAATAACATCAAGGCCATAATCTGTTAATACCTTGTTTGTCTTAAATGTTTTCAGATGTTTTTTAATTTGACCAATCATAAAAAGTCCTGTTTTACGGACCAACTCGATATGAATTTTTTAAAACAAAAATATATTTGATTGTAATTTAGACAAAATAATTTATTTTCAGATGGATATTTCAATCAAACAATTTTTTTTTTCCTTTTTGTCTTGTTCACAAAAATATGTAAAAAAACCAAGACAAATTCATTTTGTCAATTCATATTATATTTGGAGAAATAAATTATATTCTCTTGTACAGTTATATTTTTAATAGTAAAGGCTTTAAACATTTTTTTGGCAAATGTCCACTTTTTCTGTAGGTTTTTATTCGGACAAACAAATGATTAATTTTTTGTGGCCTGTATGATCTAAATCTCAATTTTGATGAGGAAAGAACCTTTCTGGCAATTTTGGAACATATTGCACAGTTTGCTAACGTTTTGACATCTAACAGATCTGTAGAGGTGACTTGCACCAGAGCTTGAGTGTAGCAGTTTCTTTTAACATCTTTTATCTGTATTGTTATTTTGTTTCTAATGAATAAAATTATCATTGGCACTTAATGGTATCCTATCATTTTTGCACGTTTAATTCTCTCATCGTGAGTCTATTACCGATGACACAAGAGTCTTATTGCAGAGTAGGCGATGGAAATTAATTATGAAATCTCTACAATCTGGTGGAAGTCACTCTTTGGAAAAGTTACAAAATTAAACTGTATGGTATGAAATGTAGATGGTATTATAAGAAAAAAATATGCAGTAAATGCGAAAAGAGAAAAATACATAGTAAGTAATCCTTTCTTATGATCTGACATTATACTTGATTAGCTTTACATGTTAACATTTTCTCACATATATATATATATATATATATCCCTGTGGTGTTGCTGTGTGTTTCTGTATATATCCTATGCCTATTCTGTATATACCCACTCCAGGGCCTTGTGGGGACCTTGACGGGGAGGACCTCGGGAACATTTGAGTGTCAGAGGCATGGATATAGGGGGGGATGTGAATTCTATTGATGGCAGTACAAATTCTTAGCACCTGTAAAGATCCGGGTTAGACTTGGTCTCAGCAACCCATGCTTGTTGTAAGAGGGGACTCACTGGATCAGGTAGTCATGAGACATGTCATCGTGATCATGATGTTGAGCACTGGATTGTCTGGTAACCAGAGAATAGAGGAGTCCAGTACTGGGGTGAAGTCAAGTAGTAGAAAAGTCCGCTACTGGGGTGGAGTCGGGTACTAGAGGAGTCCGCTACTGGGGTGGAGTCGGGTACTAGAGGAGTCCGCTACTGGGGTGGAGTCGGGTACTAGAGGAGTCCGCTACTGGGGTGGAGTCGGGTACTAGAGGAGTCCGCTACTGGGGTGGAGTCGGGTACTAGAGAAGTCCGCTACTGGGCTGAAATCTGGTACTAGAGGGGTCTGGTACTGGGGTGGAGTCAGGTACTAGAGGGGTCTGGTACTGGGATGGAGTCAGGTACTAGAGGGGTCTGGTACTGGGGTGGAGTCAGGTACTATAGGGGTCTGGTACTGGGGTGGAGTCTGGTACTAGAGGGGTATGGTCCTCTGGTCGAGTCTGGTACTAGAGGGGGTATGGTACTGGGGTGGAGTCGGTACTAGAGGGGTATGGTACTGGGGTGGAGTCGGGTACTAGAGGGGTATGGTACTGGGGTGGAGTCGGGTACTAGAGGGGTATGGTACTGGGGTGGAGTCAGGTTCTAGAGGGGTACGACACTGGGGTGGAGTCAGGTACTAGAGGGGCACGACACTGGGGTGGAGTCAGGTACTAGAGGGATACATTACCGGGTGAGGGAGGTGAAATTGGGTTTAACGTCGTGCTTCAGAATATTTTGCTCATATGACGACGTGCATGCGTGTATGTGTACACGCATGCGGCTGCTTGTACTAGCCCAGACTTTGCTGGTTTTATAGTGCTAGCCCACTGTGATACCATGCCGCAGAGTGAAGCATGAATATCCCACTCAGACACATTATACTGACTCGAGAGCCGACCAGTCCTTGTTATACCCATTAATGCCGAAAGCACCAGGCAGGGACCAACATGTACCATATTTTAGCGCCTTTTGGTATAACGCGGTCGGGGATCAAACCCCGTGACCTTCTACTCTCTCGGGTGGGGACGCTCTAACCACTACACCAGGGAGGCGGTCAGTACATAACTGGGGTGGAGTCAGGTACTAGAGGGGTAACGGCACTGGGGTGGTCAGGTACTAGAGGAGTCCGCTACTGGGGTGGAGTCAGGTACTAGAGGAGTCCGCTACTGGGGTGGAGTCAGGTACTAGAGGGAGTAACGGTACTGGGGTGGAGTCAGGTACTAGAGGGGTACGGCACTGGGGTGGAGTCAGGTACTAGAGGGGTATGGTACTGGGGTTGAGTCAGGTACTAGAGGGGTACAGCACTGGGGTGGAGTCAGGTACTAGAGGGGTACGGTACTGGGGTGGAGTCAGGTACTAGAGGGGTACGGCACTGGGGTGGAGTCAGGTACTAGAGGGGTATGGTACTGGGGTGGAGTCAGGTACTAGAGGGGTACGGCACTGGGGTGGAGTCAGGTACTAGAGGGGTACAGCACTGGGGTGGAGTCAGGTACTAGAGGGGTACAGCACTGGGGTGGAGTCAGGTACTAGAGGGGTACGGCACTGGGGTGGAGTCAGGTACTAGAGGGGTACGGGGTACTGGGGTGGAGTCAGGTACTAGAGGGGTGCGGCACTGGGGTGGAGTCAGGTACTAGAGGGGTACGGTACTGGGGTGGAGTCAGGTACTAGAGGGTACAGCACTGGGGTGGAGTCAGGTACTAGAGGGGTACAGCACTGGGGTGGAGTCAGGTACTAGAGAGGGGGCACTGGGCACTGGGAGGAGTCAGGGGGCACTGGAGTGGGTATGGTACTGGGGTGGAGTCTGGGTACTCAGGAGGGGAGAAGTGCGGTACTGGGGTGGAGTCAGGTACTAGAGCTACAGAGGGTACAGCACTGGGGTGGAGTCAGGTACTAGAGGGTACAGCACTGGGGTGGAGTCAGGTACTAGAGGGCAATGGCACTGGAGTGGCGTCAGGTACTAGAGGGGTACAGCACTGGAGTGGAGTCAGGTACTAGAGGGTGCAGCACTGGAGTGGAGTCAGGTACTAGAGGGGTACAGCACTGGGGTGGAGTCAGGTACTAGAGGGGTACGGCACTGGGGTGGAGTCAGGTACTAGAGGGGTACGGCACTGGGGTGGAGTCAGGTACTAGAGGGGTACGGTACTGGGGTGGAGTCAGGTACTAGAGGGGTACGGCACTGGGGTGGAGCCAGGTACTAGAGGGGTACGGCACTGGGGTGGAGCCAGGTACTAGGTTGTCTGGTCCTCAGACAGTAAATCAACCTAACCCTAACTAAAATATGCCTAACTGTATCAGCTGTCTTAGCATGTCTAAAATATTATGCAAAATGCAATACATGAAAAATACTGCAAGGCTTTATCTCTGTGACATTGGGATAAATATGTCTCTTCACAAACAAGGTAAAAATCCTGTCATGTGATATACAACTTAGCTCCTTGGAGCGGTGTCATGTCATCACAGAGCTGGAGTAGGGATTCATCATCCTAAGAAACAAAACTAAAAATAAAGTCAGCTCAGAACAGCTGTTATATTCCAACAAACACAAACAAACACATTGACAATGAATTGGAATACCAGGTTAGACTGCCAGACAACAGGCAACAGGAACACTATACATCATTGGTAGTCAGATATCCTGAACCAAACAGTCAGTCTGAAATGTCTTACATTCTTACCATCGACTAAGTATTTCCTTCAAACTCCGTAATCCCTGTCTTGAAGGACAAGTTGACTCTGCCAACTGAGTGGCTGGAGTGTGTCATGTGACAGGGGACAGGATGACGTGGCTGCAATATGACAACATGTCAGTCCATGTCTAGGGGTATAGGGTGTGACGTGTATGTGTGTGCGCATCATCACACCACATACCCTTAGTGACCGTTGACAACACATTCATCTTACCAACATTCATTCATGCAGGTCTGGAATATATGTGTGCCGTTTTACTGAAGCAAATGATGTAAGCAACACAAATAAACCCAAGAATAACAGGATCTGGTGATCAGGCTTGTGACTTGGCTGGTGTTATGTCCCAATTGCATGGTTTGGTGCTCATGACGTCGATCACAGGACTGTCTGGCCAAGGTTATTCACAAGCCGCCATCATGTAGCTGGAATATTGCCGAGTGTCATTAAACAAAAAGTATAGTTTGAGGAGATTTTCTAGAGCTAGTGAGTTGCCTTACAGAAACAGAAGGGCGAGGACGAGGCCAAGAAGCAGGCTGAGATAGAAGCTCTACAGAAGCAGCTGCAGCAGCTGAAGGACATGGCGGCGGGAAAAACGGTAAGTCCACTCACTTCGAAAATAGTATTTTGATGATGTGCAGCAATAAGTAGGAGTTAAAACCATTCTTTTCTATGTGTATTGGTCCACACACCAACAGCTGGGCTGACACTAACATCCTGAGACATGTCGTCAAATTGATTTGAGCTTGGAGCCCTAAAATAAATTGGGGAATTAATGTGAATATTCCTGCCTAAAATTACTGTGAATGGTGCTGCCTACAAACTATATCCTGTTCCTGTCTGTGTGATCATGCCATGTTCTCTGATTGTCATCGATATCATTGCATTATAATTGTATTTATTATGTCTGATTTATCTTGTTTTACTGATATTTCTACCGTCGATGTTTAAAAAGAATATTATCTTTTTTTCATTCATTGACATTGAAACATGCAGAAGAAATTACAGACAATGGGAGATGCTGAGGAAAAAGTGATTGATTTGATGGCACCAGTGTTGTGTTACAGTGTTAGAGATGCTGCTTAACTTTTACTGGAAACAGATATTCGTATGCATTTATTATAAGTATGAATTTATAGTTAATGTGCTCTGGTCACTTTGTCCCATATCCCCACTCAATCACTGGTGTTTTATGCCAAGTTTATTTCTCCCTTGTGAAAATCGTTACCAATAGACTTTCAGGTTGTTTTCATGTAAAGAAACATGATGCATATCTTCTTGGAAAAGCATTGATTGTAGCGTTTTGTTTTCATGACTTTGAACTGTAGAAGACACCAAATTATTGTTCCTTGTATACAATAACAACACAACATTAATTATTGCAAATGTAAAAAGTTTGGACTTTTAGCTCAATGATGTTGATTATGTTTTTCAATTTTCACCGATATGATTGTTGTACTGCATATCCAGGATTTAATATATTTTATATTTAGATTACACTTCTCAGTAAAATACAGATTATGGTACTTTTGTTTTGTTGAGTCCCATGTGGGATTCGAACCCACACATTGTGTATTCATATCCAGGATTAGAAATATTTGTTTGTTTTCACAAAACTTTAAAAACTATCAGCTACCAAGTTGCCATCTATTGAAAACTGGTGGTCGACAGGGGAAATGTAACTAGCCCTTCCTTATTTCCATTGGTCACGGACTTTCAGACTTACTCCAGTAAAAGTTGAGCAGTAATGATAGTTGCACTGTGATCATCTGTGTCCACTACTGATTCCATGAAGTATGGCTTGACTTTGCATTAATGTGTTTACACATTCTTCTGTGATAAATTCTGGTCTATACATGGGGAAAAAGTGAAAAAGACATTTCTGATATTTTTTATTCTCAATATATTTCCCATGTGTGGAGGATAAATTGTGATTGTCTTGTCAGTTTTCCACATTGGCCTAATTTGTGAAAAAAGAATTACTTTGAATTCTCAATTTTGCATTCAGTAAAATAGTACAATTTATTGCAATTTAGACTGTTTTTGGAATATTTGTTTTTCAAATGTCGGCAGATTCAGTAAACCAATTCAAACAAAGCCTTACCATACTTGAAACCTCCCCTTCACAAAGTTTTTGTTGCCCTGAAGAGCACATTTAAGTTTGTCCCTGTCATACTTGTTGGAATGCTTTCAAATCTGCCATTGTCCACACTGCACTGGAAATAAGCTTGGAATTTTAAAAAATGGAAAATTGTTTTTATGTGTTTATTATGTTTTACGAGAAACAACTGATTGGTATTGAGAGAAATTGCAAATTTAAAGCTTTATGATCAAAGTATTTGAATAGGTTTCAGATAGATCGTTTGTATATTCTGTGTCCGTTACAGTTTTTAATATGACATTACGGCACTTCATCAGCATGTTGGCACAGTTCATGGTTGTCTCTGTGGTTTTGTTCACAAATTACGGGGACGGGTATGATAGAATATTATGATACACTGATTGTGGCTAGCAGTAAAATTGGTCATTGGTCTTCAGCCAACAGCTTGTCATAAGAGACACCTAATAGATTTGCAGGTCTGATTCATTGAGTTTGTCGATGCATGTCATCCTGTCTAAACTGTTTAGATTATTGCTCATGATGTCAATCTGATTGGGGTAGCCTAATGGTTAAAGCGTGGCTTTCACGCCGAGGACCGGGGTCCAAACCCCACATGGGTACAATGAAGCCCATTTCTGGTGTCCCCTACCGTGATGTTGCTGGAATATTGCTAAAAGCGTAAAATGTCAGTCATGATGTCAGTCACTGGATCGTCACTACATTATTAACTCATGTCATACAGCTTGAATTTCCTGAATGCAGTGTTAACAAGAAACTTAATGGGGGTGGTTATGAGATAGGTATTTAGCTGGAGTAGTTTGGTTGTAATGAGATTGCACTGTTAGATATATAGTCTACGTCAGTATTGTGACTATGATGCTCTCCTTGCAGCCCATCGACCAGTCCATGGTGAAAGGTGGCAAGAAAGGACCAGGTCCTGCAAAGGTAAATGGTTTCAACACTGATACTTGTATAGGCTCTGTCCCTCCGTCACACACCGCCTCCGTGGTGTAGTGGTTAGAGCGTCCGCCCGGGGGTGTGGAAGGTCGCGGGTTCGATCCCCGACCGCGTCATACCAAAAGACATTAAAATATGGTACTTGTTGGTCCCTGTCTGGCGCTCGGCAGTAATGGGTACAACAAGGACTGGTCGGCTCGGAGTCAGTATAATGTGTCTGAGTGGGGTATTCATGCTTCACTGCGGCATGGTATCTCAGTAGGCTAGCACTATAAAACCAGCTTCAGTCTGGGCTAGTACAAGCAGCCGCACATACACATACACATGCATGCACGTCGTCATATGAGCGAAATATTCTCAAGCACGACGTTAAACCCAATTCCACCACCACCACCCTCCATCACACAGAATGCTTGTGTAGTCTGTCGCATCAGAGCATCATGCTGAAGACTTCAGTTAGATTCTGAAGAATTTTTCATTGTTTTGGTACAAGGCCAGGGTCCAACCACACGCCTTCCTCTCTCCAAGCAGATGCTCCATTAAGTGCACCACCACAGCCATAGACATGCACAAAATTGCTCTCACGAATGTTTGCTCAAATTTTATATCATAAACCGCAGATTCAAGCACATGCACTTCAATATATGAGACAGCACGTCATCTGGTACACTGATAAATGCAGTGGTGAGTGTGATAGTGATGTTTTGCAGTGTTTGTAAACAATGTCACATTGGATATAGGGGAGTCATGAATTTGGAAACATGACAAAGTTCCGGAAGTGTTAGGACATGTTTCATATTCTAGCATGACAGACGCACAGAACTGTGCCATTGTCAATCTGTGTACGCGTCTTTCGTTAGCGAATTGTGTATGTAAATTGTTAAAATTTAAATGTGATATTACAAGATTGTGTTAAAAACAAAAAAGTTCCTAGTTTTTTTCTCTGTGCCCACCATTAACATATTGCCTCTCATATTTCGTAATTGTAATACAAATGAAATAAGTAGAAGGTACTTGTGCAAGAACCCTGTTTTGATGCAGCTGAATCTTTAAACAGGTGATGGAGGGATGTAGTGCACTCCAGACAATGATATATTGATGAAAGGTATATGACGCCCCAGAAATGATTCTTGGAATGTTAAGATTTTTAACACCATCTGTAGCTTTATTGGTATTGAATTCGTTCAGCTTCAAAAGTATCATGTCACGAAGAATATGTTTTCCTTTAGTTTCTGTGCCATTACCCAGTTCAATGTTTTATACATATACTGAAAGTTAACTTGACAGTCTGTACCCATAGAGATAATAATAATAATGTCACTTATAAAGCGCAAATGTCCACACACTTATGAATGCTCAATGCGCTGAAAAGAATTGAGTAAAAGAGTCAGCCATCGGCACTTTGAAACAGGTGACTTTTGACTTGAAGGTTGAGAGAGATTCACATAATTTGATTTCTAAAGGTAAAGAGTTGGTGCAACATAGGAGAAAGCCCTTTTCCCATACGAAACTAGGTGGAATTTGGGAACTTGTAGTAGGTGCTGATTCTGGGACCGGAGTGATCTTGATGGAATGTATTTTGTGAGTTCAGTGAGATATTCTGGAGCTTGATTGTGGAGACAGCTGAAAGTGATGCAGAGAAGTTTAAAGTTGATTCTCTATTGAATAGGCAGCCAATGTAAGGATTTGAGAACAGGAGAGATGTGATCAGATTTAGTCTTCAGAGAAATAATTCTTGCAGCTGTATTCTGTACTTTCTGTAGTCTTGAGATATTGTGTTTGCTGAGGCCGATCAACAGTCCATTGCAGTAGTCTAGTCTGGATAGCACTAGACATCTGACTAGGATGTGGGCACATTCCGCTGTGATGTACTTCCTGATGTTTCCTATGGCTTTAAGATGAAAATAACATGATTTGCATATCCTGTTGACTTGCTCCGTACCCAATTTTGGCGGCCTTGTACATACATTTTGGATAATCTACACTCTAACCAATCAAATAGATGATTCGTACCCTAAATGGAAATCCATAACGAATGAAGATATATATGATTTGAAACTTTAATCAGTTGTTTTCTCATGTTCAGCAATGACCCAATGAAAACCTATATGATCTGATACGTTGTTTCTTATTGTAACTGCAGCAGTGGCGTGAAATTTGACAACGGGAATGTTGTGCTGACCTGGATATCATTGTGAATTAATAGCTTAATATCCTGAAAATCTGTTTAGTATTTCCAGTCACTTCTGACAAGTATCTGCTCCACAGACATTTACCGGTACTGATTAATGGATTCGGCATGTTTGATTTGTGTTTGATATAACACGGGAGTAGTTCAGTCACTGACTTTTTAAAATTGTTGTTACACCACCTGACTCCTAAAATGGTAATAGTTTCAATACTAGATCAAAAATATGTACACTAGGCCAGTTGAGTTGACCTATTTTTTTATATCCTAATGTTACTTGCATAATAAGACAGGAAAGAGTGTTTAGGATTCATTCATCTTCACTTAGCAACATGGTCAACATGATCTGTATGTTGAGAGAATACAATGGCGTTTTGTGTTGTGTGTGAAAGAAGGGGGGACAACGACAACATGGGTTGCAGTGCAGTAGTTGGCAGCTCTGTACATGTGGAGCAGGTAGATAATCTCACATACCTTTGTTTTCGTTTTCATGCACTTGTAAATTGTTATTGAAGAATTTTCAAACGTTAATGCTATTACGTTTTGACTAGGAATGAGATTTACGTATGCACATGGAAAAAAACATATTGCAACACCCCATATTTCTCATGGTGTCAATACATCTACATTAAACATTGTAAAGGAACGTATCCAAACCTGAAGTCTACTCAGTGTCTGGGCAAACTGATCCTCAAGGAATAATTAAATGCCAAAACCTGACACACAGACACACTCTGCCATGTTTTCAGAGACAAACATGGCAGAGAATTGACTCATTTTGTTATGCTGGTAACTATGGTTGTATGACAAGAATAAGTGCAGTCATTTTCAAGATTCTGGCAGATAATCTGAAGAAATCACATAAGTATCAGTAACAGATCACAAAGTCTACTTGTGGTGTGAACCACCTACAAACATTCTGACCCTCATTAATTGTATCAGTCGTGGAATTTGATGCTAAGGTATTGCATTCCATTCTTGATGAATGGCTTTAAATGGCATATTCTGTAACCCAAATTAAATACAACTGCTCCTGAACCGGTATAAATCTGGTAAGAATTTTAGGTACAGGCCCGCCATTTTGGTTATGTACGAATCTCCTTAGGTATGAATCCTATTTGGGGTATTGTGGGTCTAAATCCTGGGCCCTGTTTCACAAAGTGGACTTAGCGTTAAGGCGATCGTGACTCCTGTACTTAAACATAGACTTACAACAGTCATAGTGCTAAGATAGATCTGTGGAACAGGGCTCTGGTTATGCTTATGATCTGAAAATCTTGGTCTTCTTCTTGCCCCACAAGGGGCGGTGGGGTAGCCTAGTGGTTAAAGCGCTGGCTCGTCACGCCGAAGACCCGGGTTCGAATCCCCACATGGGTACAATGTGTGAAGCCCATTTCTGGTGTCCCCTGCCGTGATGTTGCTGGAATATTGCTAAAAGCGGTGTAAAACCAAACTCAGTCAGTCAGTCAGTCAGTCTTGTCCCACACATTCAGTCCAGTACCAGGTTTGGGGATCGATCGTTTCAGGTGGCAGGACCCACTCTCTGGAATCAACTTCCACTGGAGTTACTGACAGTCAACAACCTGAAGATTTTCAAATCTAAACTGAAAGACGTACCTTTTTCAGAAAACATACGGTGTCTAACTTTTCATTCTCGAGTTGTTCGGAGAGCACTACTGAGCAGTACTTTTGGACTGGAGCTGGCGCTATATAAATCTTTTTTTGATGATGATGATGATGATGATGCTTCTAGGTGTGTCAGCATGCTCATGGGCTTCATCAGGGGCGGTGGGGTAGCCTAGTGGTTAAAGTGTTTGCTCGTCACGCTGAAGACCCGGGTTCGATTCCCCACATGGGTACAATGTGTGAAGCCCATTTCTGGTGTCCCCCACCATAATATTGCTGGAATATTGCTAAAAGCGGCGTAAAACCCAACTCGCTCACTATGGGCTTCATCACCATGGGAAACATCGTAGACTTGCATCATATCAAGTTTTTCTCCCCCATTGTTCTGAACCATTGTTATATAGCAGTATCTGGAATACTGGTCACAGTGGCACTAACCCACCTCAATCATATCGTCATCACATTGGGTTGCAGGCAAAGGTGAAACCCAAGACAAAGGCGTTACAGAAGACGTCCGAAGATGACGACATGTCCGTAGTCAACATGGATAAGTGAGTAGAAACCAAGTGTCCAAATATCACAACCTTTTGTGATAAAAATAGGAAGTGGGTATTTCCAGTAGAGAAATAGATGCTCAGTTGGCCGGAGTATTATCTCTAGGGTTCTACAGCACACAATGCACATATTAATATTCAGTTCATGAATCCTCCGTAAAATATGCAGTGGAAAAAACAAACAAGTAAAAGTTACAATTTAATATAAGTTTTTGTTTTGTTTTACACTTGGAGTTCATGCAATGAGGGACTGACTCCTGATAAAGAAAATGCATCCCTGCGCCCGAGATTGGTACATTAATATTCAAAAAACAAAACAAGTAAAAGTTACAATATTAAGATGAGTAAAGAAATCATCAAATCTTACAGCACATTCCAACTTTACTGGACTTTCATCTGTCCTGTTACGACCCTTAATCATGATGAACCTTCATGACTTTTGTACAAGAATTATTGACATCTTTCATTGAATAATATTAATAAGTTCCTTTTGGATTTAGGTGTTGAAACTATACCATTTTGAAAATGTGGGCATTATTTGGCATTAACGAGTTTCATGGAGAAGTAATTCACAACCCACAGACACTCTTGGCGCCTTCCACTGATGGTTACTTAGCAACAGTTGACCGATGACAAAGATGCTAATGCTATGTTATCATCTGGGTTAGATTTGTTTTTGAGCAACTGATGCTGTATAAGATCTGGCCCCACTTGCAAAACACATCTTACCGTATATTACCGTCTATAAGACGACCCCCAAACTTCACCCTTAAAATCAGTGTCAAAATGGTATGTTTCGTGCATAAGTCGATCCCCTGCGATGGGGTCCTAATTGCAGCAAACACAGACAACTGGCAGTTACCAATAATTATAACTTTGGTCCACATTATTCAAAGAATTCACAATCATATATTGCGTCTACTCACGGATCGAAAAGAAGTATAGTTGACAGAAAAGGCATAATATATTTTGTTTCTCTAAATATATTATTGTGCATGTTTGAACTTGATCGCCGGGAAACATGTGCACAGCTGATTGCTATTTCCGGCTCAGATACACTCCGTAATCTTAATCCCTGCAAATAATACAATGCCCAGCAAAAACAACTTAGAACTTAAAAGGTAAATAATCTTGTCTAGTGATGTTTAATTGCACATTTGACGTCTCTACTGACAAAGTCGTTTTCTGTTGTTTGTTCACGCGAAGTGAGACGATGTTGTTTTCTTACCTCTGGAAAAAAGTTTGACGAAAGCGTAACCCATGAATAAGACGACCCCCTTCTACACACTGCTTTGTTTGGTCCTCAAAATTCGGCTTATAGACGGTCATATACGGTAGATACCAAGTATTATAACCACCATGCTCAAACAGAGACATAAGATAATAGTAGTGCTAAAATAGCTTCGTGCAGACTGCCCCAGGTGGTAAAGCTTATTGATCTGATTAATGCATGCCATATGTTTGTATAATTCAATGCTTATAATGTCTGTAAGAGTGCCACTGTCATTGCTGAGTGCTGTGTTATAAACAAACAAATTTAATAAGATTTGCTGTTTTCTAGGGTGTGTATATTCTGTGGTGAGAGGAATGAAGGTTTCGATGATGAGGGCTTGGACCTTCATTATTGGAAGAACTGCCCCATGCTGAAGAGATGTGCGAACTGTAAACAGGTGAGTAGAACACAATGTACACAACACACGGCTTGCTTCCATGATGACATGAGGGTCTGTCAGCTAACAAAGTCAACCTTTCTGGGTGTGTCGAGTTCATGTCAGTGAAGAGCAGCTCTGATTGACTCCTCTAATTTTTGTAGCACATTTTGAAAATGTATCACGGTACTAATACATTTCATTCCAAGATTGTGCGTATTTTAATCTCACTGGCAGAATTTACAAGTGACAAGTCAGACTGACTTAAAATTCGGGAATTACCTACTGATTCACGGGATCGAACTGTATATTATGTGTGTACAATGCATGCAACAGCCAACAAACTCTTGGACAACTTTGAAGTTGTCAAAAATATTTGCTTTAATCTAAGATATGAGTCCATTTTCATTTTGGCTGGAATTGTTTAGCTTCACTGTCTGTGTTGACAACAGGTTGTGGAGATCGCCAGCCTCACTGACCACCTGTTGAGTGAATGTGAGTCCCACGGCATGTTCTCCAAGTGTCCTCGCTGCTCCCGAGGCTATACTCAAGGAGGATTATGATCAACACATTCAGGAGAAAGCTTGCAATCGTAAGTTAAATCCATATACTCACGTTTATTTCCTCACTCCGTTACAGCTACATAGTCACATGACTCACATTTCCTCACTCCGTAACAGCTACATAGTCACTCACCCGTTCACTCGCTCTGGTTAAAGCTTGTCACGCTAACGACCAGTGTTCATATACCCACACAGGCACAATGTGTGAAGCCCATATCTCATGTCACCTGCCTTGATATAACTAGAATATTGTTGAAAGCAGCGTGAAATCATACTCACTCACTCACTGTTCATGTCACCAATCACTCACACTCACTCGTTCGTCACGCTGAAGACCCGGGTTTGATTCCCCACATGGGTTCAATGTATGAAGCCCCTTTTTGGTGTCCCCCACTGTGATATTGCTGGAATATTGCTAAAAGCTTTGTAAAACCATACTCACGTACTAACAACTGGCTCACTGACTCACTTTGTAGATTTTCCAGAGACTAAGTTGCATGTGAACCAAGCATTCCAAGTCAGGACACATCTCCAACAACCGATGTTGATCTGAAGGTGTAACTGAATGGATCTAGTGGTTCAGCTCATCGTCCTCTCACCATCGCAACATCATCAATCACAATCATCAATCAATCATTGTTTACTCCAGATTTGATTATCTACAGCTTGTTGTCGTAAAGACGGAATATTACCAGTGCAGCAACAGACAGACATTCACTAACTGACTCACGTTGTTGATGTTGCAGCTGGCAAGCCACAGATGAGCCATTGTCCACTCTGTCACCAAAACATCCACATTGGAGAAGATGGTTGGAAGGAACATTTAATGGGGCAGAATGGTTGTAAACAGAACCCCCGTAGACTGCTAGCTCTCAACAAACAACCAGGTAGGTTATGGGGCACTAGTGAGAGGTTAACTGAACCCCTTCAGATTTCCGACTGTCAATAAGAAACCGTGAAGTTGTGTGATGCAGTGTATCGGACTAACAGAACCCCTTCAGATTGCTGACTCTCAGTAAACAACCGTGTAGGTGAGATATTCGAGGGTACTTGGTATTGTGGGATTGAACTACATGCATGAAAATTTGTAACTGTCTTGTTTCACAGGGTTTTGCTCCCTCCCTCACCTTTTGTCTACTGCCTTTTTTGCTATTTTGTCATGTCCTCATTTCCTTCCATCTTATATCAATATACATGTATGTGGTGGTGCCTTTGGGAAAAGACTACCAAGAGTCATCAAATTGCTACATTTGCCTGAAGAACATGCATGGTATTTGTGTACATATGATAACTGTAATCACTTTTTTCTTGTTTTGTGTCCCACATCTTAAGAGATGACTGTGTCTTTGCCAGTTTTCTGGAGTACTTGCATTCTTTGGTTTCAAGATTACCAGGATTAGAACATGGTTTTTTCGTCTTTCTCTAAAACCAAGTGTCTTTGACAGTTTTTGGATACTTCAGTATCAGTTTTCATTTTTTTTCAATCCATTTCATCAGGTGTACCATTTCATCAGGTGTGCCATGGCTGCATTGCATGCCGTGATTCATATCCAGTAATACATAAATAATTGTTTCTTTTTCAACATTTCAGACAATTCCCTGTGGTACTATTAAAGCATAGGTACATAAGTCTTCATTGGTTTAGAATTCTAGGGGTAATGTGATACTGAAATCCATCCTTGTACTGTGAGATGCTCGAAATGGCTTAAAATTAAAGTTCTATAATTTGGTTATGCTGACATTTAGATCTTTTCCTCATTTACATTGGTATTTCTTTTGAATATTTTGTATGCCCAGCATATTCTAAAAAGTTGGTTTTGACTGTGTACAAGACTGCAAATTCTTTATACAATAGAAATGTTCCCTCATCTTTAAGATAACCATTAATATATTTGTCATTTGCTTGAAAGTAATGCTATTTCATATTGTCATTCGCCCAGATATTTACATTGTCGATAATCTCCAGGGTATACGTTATGATCACTCTCCATTATACCCTGGATGCATCCACGGCTTGGCCCGATGATTTTATTATCTCCCTTGGCTGGCGTTTTATCCAATCAGGTGTCTACGCTGGGAAGTTGAATGTACCAATTACAACTCACTTTCGCTTCTTAAATTATCTAACCATTTAAACTTGGCAACACAATTGCTGCAGAGGTCCTCTGGAAGAGGTAAAAGGAGTTCTTTTATATATTTTTTGAAGTGTCAGATCTGTCAATTTGTCGGTATTATTTCCTAAAAAATCTGAGTCGCACTGCGACTGCGACCGCTATCTTTGTTGACACTGGCAAGCTCGTATGTAACGGCGGCTTAGCTGATTGGCTACTGTGAGAATGCAGAGCCAGCAAAGGGAGGTAATATAATTATCGGGCCAAGCCGTGGATGCATCCAGGGTATAGTGGAGAGTGATTGTAACGTATATCCTGGAGATTATCGAGGATGAGATATTTACTGTTTGCTAAAATCATTATTTTTGTAGTTGTAGTTTTTTTGCCATTCAGGCCAAACCTCAAACACCCATTCTGGAAAGACGCTTTTTAAGTTTTGGAGTATATCGTGTTTCTAAGTAATTTGATTCCATTTCTGAATGATAGGGATAGTGGGGCAGCCTTGTGGTTAAAGCATGTCACTAAAACTAAATAAACTCACTCACTCTTGGTGATAAGTATAGAAGATTGGTTAGCCTTGAACTCTTGTACAGAATCTACTTAACCATGCTATTTTCTGTCATATAATTGTTTCAAGTAATAATGGTGTTAACCTTCAGTGACTTTGTTGCTAAAACAAACCTGCAGGATACCGAAGTCTTTGGTTCCTTTTATTCCTGCTATAACACGTTTCCATACATCGCAAGAAGTACTGACTGGATAAAACCCAACTAAGTCAAGATATTAATAGAACTAATTAGTTAAATGGGACTTTCAACCCACCTTCTTTATAACTTTTAGTTATCCGGCATCTTTTTGTTTCATCGGGTTTGTCTTTCCAAATAGTTGGGAAACATTTTCTCTAAAAATTTGCATTATGATTGATTTTGGATTTGGCACTGAGATTATGTAAATCTAGTGTTGGAAGCGTCAGACTTATTAGCATGATAAATCTACCAAAGGGTGTAAGTCCTCTAAGTGACCACAGTTTTACTAGTTTGCCAAATTTTCTTTGAATGATAGTTTATAGTTTCTTGTCTATCATTTCTGCCTTATTGTGCTGAAATAGAATCTAAAAATGTAAAGGGTTTTTGTTTCCAAGCTAAGGTATATTTTCTAGAACATTGTGTACTTGACAATCATTTGAACCTTTCCATGCCAATTTGGATTTATGTGTTTACCTCGTTAGGATGAGAAAGCCACAATAACTTGGTGCGCCTAGTGGCTGCAAGAGTTGTATACTCCCCAAGGAGTTGAGATTGATAATGTGCCGTTGAGATTGACATCCAATGATAGATGGAGAAAAAACCAGCACCTTGAGCATGCACTACTGCGTGGATATGTGGGCTGTATAAATATCCTATAATAATAATAATATTGTGAGACCAGAAAAGGATGCATAATTTAGATGTACTGTCAGTGCTGGTTTAAAAGAACATTCTAGTCCGCCTCTTTTTGGTCTGTAAGGATTCACGCACATAATCTGTGAATTGAACTGTATCCCTTCATGAATTCTGTTCACTATTTGTTGTCACTAGAATCAAATATTTACAAATACTTTTAAGAGAATGCTTTTACTTAGAACTAGTTACGCAAAATGGAATATATCCAAGTGATGCAGTAGCATAACTTGTGTTGTTTTGACAAGGCCCCTTACGGCCCTGTCATTAGGATTATTTTATAAGCAGCATCATTCACAATGTATTACCCTTTTTGCTATATAGAAAAGTAAGATTTACATGTTTCAACTTATGAAATTCAATGAAGTTTGTTTGATATCAAGAACTTAAAATAGAAAAGTATTTCTGAATAAATATTTGTATGCAATTTCTTTACTGTACGTTCGTAAAACCTATCCTGTTCCCCTCATTGTGTATTTGTTACAGCCCTAGCTAATATTATAGCTGTGTAATTGTGTAAACAAATGTTCTAAATCCAACATCTCTTTTCCTTTTATTTTGTTATTCTGACATGACATTTTAGGCAAGAATTCTGCAACTGTGAGAAATAGGCTGTAGACAGGGCGATCCTCTTGCACCATAGCTATCTTAATTTGAAAATCATCCTTTTACTAGCACATAGGAATTTTGTTTTATTGTTAAAAGGTTTTAGCCAATGTTAGACCGAGGATCCAAATCTGAAGAATTCAAAGCACATCAAATGCATTTAAAATATCTCTCTAAATCAATACTCAGGTTTGTGGTTTATTACTATAGTATCTTTATGTTTGATGATGTCGTTGACAAATTACAGTATTTTCAACAGTATATCAATCTTTCGTTAATATTTTGTGGGAGTACTTGTTCCATAAGCGTGAATATTGCAGCTGCAGCTATTTATAGGATGTGTTAAGGAGTGAAATTGCTCTATAATTTATATTTGTTCTTCAGTTTTATTTTGTTAGTTTCTGATTTTGTAATGACTTTGTTTAGGAAATTTTCTTTCTCCAAAGAGATGAAGAATGTTTTTATTTTTCTACAGCTTTGCTTTTGATCTTTATATTATTATTTTTTTTGTAACCATTTTAATCATTTTGCTTTTTTTTTCATTTCGCATATTTTTTAATATTTTTGTTCCTCTTAATATTCTTCGTTGTCAATATGTGTGTACTTTTGTTTCAAGGGCATAGATGGAAATTTTATTGTATGTCCTCAAATATTACATTGTAATATCCCCCCCAAAACAGTTTATCTGTAATACTTTATCTGCTTCTATATCAGGGAGATTTCTTACCAAAGTAATATTCAGTCTGCATGTGATGTGTCCTCAGACGTTTACCTTTATCTTGAGTGGACTTCGTTAATTGGTGTTCACGCTATTAATCACAGGTCTAATCTGCATTATGTCTTGCTATGTTTCAGCACAATCCAGATTACCTGCACCCAAGTCCAGAGTGCCAACCAAGACCAACAAGACCGGTCGCAGATGAGCTGATGATGTCCGGAGTTGTGTTCAGTTATTAATGGTTGTCAGTAATAGCAATTATAGTGAAATGAACCGGAAAGTAAATTACCTTCAAACAGTGAGTTTTGATAAGTTAAATTTTGCAATGTCAGAAATCTAATTCTGAGTACACCTTTCATTCCAGTAAATCATGCAGTTCCTGTATTCCTAAAATGGTCCCTATACTCCCTTGTTTAATTGATGAATGCTGCTTTTCATATTGTTTACCTACCTCCACTCCAGGGCAGTTGGGTAGCCTAGTGGTTAAAGTGTTCGCTCGTCACTCCTGCGAAGACCCGGGTTCGATTCCCCACATGGGTACAATGAGTGAAGCCCATTTCTGGTGTCCCCCGCCGTGATATTGCTAAAAGCGGCGTAAAACTAAAGACACTTACTTACTAGCCTCCGAGGATATGAAGCGGAGGAGCTAAGTCATATCTTGTGGTTAGTAGCTTGTGTGTATTTAGTCCAAATAGCTAGCTTGAAATCTCATCTTAGAATACACTTTATAGATTAACTTATAGACATCCATGCTGCCAATTCCTAAGTGTCAAAATTGTATGGATATATTGGACATACTGAATATGAAATATATAAATATTTTTTGGGATATTTTTATGAAATTGTGTGCTAGGTCTCCCCATAATAAATACCCCAAAAATATTCATGATTATTTTCTCAGTGTGACAAATTGGTACGGTGAACAAATCGTTGGCTGTGTTTCATTCAAGTTACATACTGTCAACTGAAGTCTATTTGAAGTTACGTTTGTTTCTGTGAAAATAGAAAGCATGTTTGGGATCAGAAGTAATTTGAAAATGTCCTTTGACTTTTTAAGCGTGACATCCAATTTCGTCCAATGTTAACCTGACAACTGTCTAGGTTTCTTGAGGGAAAAACAGTGTCTAGGAGAATATTATGCACCCCTTTTTACACAGCTGTAATTTCTGTAAAAAGGGAAATTTTTAGCGAAATGGTATCGGACCATTGCGCAAACTTTCCATCTCCCTCTGAACTGCTATAAATGTTACTCTTGGATTGGTTTCAACATTGCGGTGGTATCTTATGGAACTGGGTGCTTAGTAGGGTGAATCTGGTACCTTTACAGTTGAACAATGCAAGAATTTTACCATATTTTTGTATGTACATTGGCAGCAAATCCGTACAAATTTGGATTGCTGATTAGCAGTATAATAGTACATTTAGCTTTTTTGCTAATTATCAAATTGTGGTTTTCGGTTCATTATATTTAAGTTGTAATCTTCCACATTAGTTCTGTGATAGGTTCTAAATACTTTTGAATGTGCTTGTTATGCAAATATATATACCTACATTATTCATGCTGTCAGATAAAATATATATACCTTCATTATTCATGATGTACATAGCTGATGTAAATACAAGCTGTATATATACATACCACGCCCATCCAGGGAAGGACCAACATCTATGGTGGGTTCTCCGATCTGTGGCATGGTGCTGTCTATAGTATTGATGGTTGATGTGATGGTGCCGACTATTGGTATGGTCGACTGATGGAATGGAAAAGTTGTGTAGATACTGAGATGATTGACCCTGTATGGACCTGGACAATAGGTTTGCTCTGTCCCTTCCTTTGTTGTTAGGGGCAGGGGTAGCCTAATGGTTAAGCGTCTGTTCATCACGCTGAAGACCTGGGTTTGATTTCACACTAGTCGGCTTGTCCTACTATTTAAGTTATAAGTTATTATTCTGTACCTGCTTCAGTTGTTACAGACTATCATTCTATGGCTGCTTGTTATCTTGTCCACAAACCCACACTCATTAGTCAAAGGTTATGGGAGTCTTGAATCTGGTGAGCTGTCAATTTATTGTCTTTTTAGTACCAGCTGCACCTTGCATCTCACATATGTTCTCAGTGTAATTATGTTTGATCACATTCAGTCAGCTTTTTTCTTTATGAGAATTATGCTTAAGGGAACGTATGTATGTATTTTTAACTGATGCCTGTATCTAGTAATGAGAATGAATATTCCACTGTACAGGTTTATAAATTCATGGGGGCGGTGGGGTAGCCTAGTGGTTAAAGCATTGGCTTGTCACGCTGAAGACCCGGGTTCAAATCCCCACATGGGTACAATGTGTGAAGCCCATTTCTGGTGTCCCCCGCCTTGATGTTGCTGGAATATTGCTAAAAGCGGCGTAAAACCAAACTCAGTCAGTCTAAATTCATGAAGACAATTGGATGTTCATGCAATTGTTTCTACCTTAGAGGTCTTGTCAGGGGTGCTGTGATCCCTCCCCAATATATGAAGGGACGGACCCTCCCCAATATACGAAGGGACGGACCCTCCCCTCCCCAATATATGAAGGGACGGACCCTCCCCAATATATGAAGGGACGGACCCTCGCCATCCCCTCCCCAATATGAAGGGACCACTTCAGTGACAAAAAAGACATTGCAATGAAAACATATATAGTAAACAGTGTTTGTAAAAAAATGAAAAGCATTTCAAGTCATACTATATTGCAATCAGTATTGCACTCTTGCCCATCACACACAAAGTTTTCCATGTTCTCTTGACAAGACCCCAAAGTCTTTTGTCCTGGTAATTACATCTGTTCTCAAAACGTTGTGAGTCGTCGTTTAAAAGCTGTAGTGCAATTTAGAGTTATGAGTTAGTTGTTATGAGGTATATAATCTATATTTTCAAGAAAATAGCATGGAAATAAAATGTTTATCAAGTAAAATAAATGGTTGTTGTTGATATTAATTTAACTGAATGGGAGAATTAATGAAAGATGATGGACAGAGGTTGCAGACAGACAGTCTGCAAGATTCAAGTGTTAATCACATTTCAAAACATTGAGAAACATTCAGCATCGTGATTTGGGTAAATAGATGCCGACATTGTCACCACACTCCCCAGCATTTATGTAGGATTGACAGATGGATGAATGGAAAGATGGATGGATCAGGTAGTCAGCCTCCGCAACATGTTGGATTGTATGTCAGTCTGACAATTCCACCAACCCAAACAGAACCTCAGAATTCCGTGGGATGTGTGCATGCGTAAAATAATCAGTTCGGCGCTTTGCTTAGAATGGTCTGCAACAAGTTCGGACTACGGATACAGACAACTTTCTGTTTTACGTGATCGGTTGCAGAAGTGTCTTGGAGGGACTTTTGTGGGTCGGAAGAGGGCACAGCCTTCACAGACCCTTTCTTTGAACCGTTGACGGACACAGTCCGTGGTCAAAGAGTGGACACAAAATGGCGACACCTACCAAAGACCTTCATGGGGTGACGGAGCACAGCTCTACCATAACAAAGCCCAACACAGTTGGCATGAACAGACCGAAAATCTGTCTGTCGTAACAGTTGGATAAACCGAGACCCAAGTCCAAACCCTGAATGGACTCAGAAACGGAGGAAGAATACCCAGAGGGTTGTGAACGGCCCCGTTTGGGTTATGCAATCTCTGACTCGCAACCCGGACCGAGTACGTCCGGAGTTAAGAGATTATTTGAGTGTGACGGAAGTGCCACACGGCCATAACAGTGAGAGTGAGGGCAAAATCATAGACTCGCACGATGATTATGAAAACGCTATGGATGGACTCGATGGCTTTCTATCCCAGCTTGAGCAGTCTAAACCCGATAAACAGGACGACGGCGAAAGTGATGTGGCAGGCCTTGTGGCCGAGTTGAAGAGTTTCTTCGATGACACGGATGAAACATCGCCAAATGTGACAGCCGAGCTTGCCTCAACTGTGAGTGATGGGGTACGGAACGTGGTAAATATAAAAATGATCAAGGCTATTATGGAAAAGTACAAACGACCTGGAAATTGTGAAGGACTTCTCGTTCCCCAGGTAAACGATGAGATCTGGAGACAAGCCAGAACGTTTTGCCCATACAAGAGACATTCAACACCAACACACGCAGGCTCTCATTACCAAGGCTTTGATCCCAGTAATCCAGGCGACTGACCACCTAATGGCTGCCGCCTTAGGTGAAACGCCAGTGAATGTAAAGGAACTTTTGGTAAAATCAATGGATGCCATCAGACTCCTGTCAGGTGCCATCAGCGAGCTAAACAAGAAAAGAAGAGAAGGGTTTAAACCTGAGGTGGGGGCACCATACAAAAGACTTTGCACAGAAAAAGTGACGACGACGACTGATCTTGCAAAGAAAGTTAAGGAAATCTCTGACAGTAAACAACTAGGGCTCAAGATGACTGACAAGTTTACTAAGAAGAAATACCACGGAGAGAAATTCAACCCGTACCATTATGGACAAGGACACCCATCAGGTGGTAATCATGGCACAGGGGGGAAGAAAACCTTCAGGGGTCGAAACGTCTCCCCTTACCCTACCTACGGCAAATATCAGTAGACTGTCAACCACTCATGGACAATTCGGCATCACAGGTGAGAAAAAATTTCAGACTTGTGAATACTCCCAGTAATTTTGTGGCTGGTAAAGTATGTGAGTATTCAGATATGTGGAAAATGATAACTTCTGACAGATGTATTATATCCTCAATTAGGGGAGCTCACATAGAATTCCCGTCTCCCCCAGAACAAGTGTATACTCACTCCTACGTGCCCACCCTTTCTCCCACCCATGGATGTTTTAAGGTATACATTTATTGCTAAAGGCTGATTATTTTACGCATGCGCACATGTCACATAATCCCTCAGTTCTGCTTAGGTTGGTGGAATTATAGTCAACCATCGCCTTACAGGTAAGTCTTGCTTAACTGTAAAACCAACATCATCCATCCATCCAAGTGATATACAGACAATGAGCAGGTTATATAAGTGTGGCCAATTACTATCTTTACAAGGTTCACTGATGATTGATTATGTTTACACACCAGAGAAGGTTGAAGTATATAACTAAATGCATCTTAGATATAAACATGTCATTCAAATGAAATCAATATATACAGCCGATCTGTTCTTACCTGAATCGATTTTTTAAAACACATCTGAACATGGATAGTACAGTGGTAGTGTCTTTTTACTACAATATTTGTTGATGTTGATTCAGTTCCATGACATACATGGGTACAACATGTGCAGCCCTTTACTGGTGACTGCAGCTTGGAAGCAAACAGAACCACTAGTCTTGATATGTCACAGACAGTAAACTGAGAACCACTGGACTTAATATACCATAGGCGACAGGCAGTAAACTGAGAACCACTGGTCTTGATATGTCACAGACAGTAAACTGAGAACCACTAGTCTTGATATGACACAGTAAACTGAGAACCACTGGTCTTGATATGTCACAGACAGTAAACTGAGAACCACTGGTCTTGATATGTCACAGACAGTAAACTGAGAACCACTGGTCTTGATATGTCACAGACAGTAAACTGAGAACCACTGGTCTTGATATGTCACAGACAGTAAACTGAGAACCACTGGTCTTGATATGTCACAGACAGTAAACTGAGAACAGATAAACTGAGAACCACTAGTCTTGATATGCCACAGACAGTAAACTGAGAACCACTGGTCTTGATATGTCACAGACAGTAAACTGAGAACCACTGGTCTTGATATGTCACAGACAGTAAACTGAGAACCACTGGTCTTGATATGTCACACAGACAGTAAACTGAGAACCACTGGTCTTGATATGTCACAGACAGTAAACTGAGAACCACTGGTCTTGATATGTCACAGACAGTAAACTGAGAACCACTGGTCTTGATATGTCACAGACAGTAAACTGAGAACCACTGGTCTTGATATGTCACAGACAGTAAACTGAGAACCACTGGTCTTATATATCACAGACAGTAAACTGAGAACCACTGGTCTTGATATGTCACAGACAGTAAACTGAGAACCACTGGTCTTGATATGTCACAGACAGTAAACTGAGAACCACTGGTCTTGATATGTCACAGACAGTAAACTGAGAACCACTGGTCTTGATATGTCACAGACAGTAAACTGAGAACCACTGGTCTTGATATCTTGAATATGTCATATGTCACAGTAAACTGAGAACCACTGGTCTTGATATGTCACAGACAGTAAACTGAGAACCACTGGTCTTGATATGTCACAGACAGTAAACTGAGAACCACTAGTCTTGATATGTCACAGACAGTAAACTGAGAACCACTGGTCTTGATATGTCACAGACAGTAAACTGAGAACCACTGGTCTTGATATGTCACAGACAGTAAACTGAGAACCACTGGTCTTGATATGTCACAGACACAGTAAACTGAGAACAGTAAACTGAGAACCACTGGTCTTGATATGTCACAGACAGTAAACTGAGAACCACTGGTCTTGATATGTCACAGACAGTAAACTGAGAACCACTGGTCTTGATATGTCACAGACAGTAAACTGAGAACCACTGGTCTTGATATACAGTAAACTGAGAACCACTACATATGATACAGTAAACTGAGAACCACTGGTCTTGATATGTCACAGACAGTAAACTGAGAACCACTGGTCTTGATATGTCACAGACAGTAAACTGAGAACCACTGGTCTTGATATGTCACAGACAGTAAACTGAGAACCACTGGTCTTGATATGTCACAGACAGTAAACTGAGAACCACTGGTCTTGATATGTCACAGACAGTAAACTGAGAAGAACCACTGGTGAGAACCACTTGTCTTGATATGTCACAGACAGTAAACTGAGAACCACTGGTCTTGATATGTCACAGACAGTAAACTGAGAACCACTGGTCTTGATATGTCACAGACAGTAAACTGAGAACCACTGGTCTTGATATGTCACAGACAGTAAACTGAGAACCACTGGTCTTGATATGTCAGTAAACTGAGACTGGTCAGTAAACTGAGAACCACTGGTCTTGATATGTCACAGACAGTAAACTGAGAACCACTGGTCTTGATATGTCACAGACAGTAAACTGAGAACCACTGGTCTTGATATGTCACAGACAGTAAACTGAGAACCACTGGTCTTGATATGTGAGAACCACTGGTCTTGACAGTAAACTGAGAACCACTGGTCTTGATATGTCACAGACAGTAGTAGACTGAGAACCACTGGTCTTGATATGTCACAGACAGTAAACTGAGAACCACTGGTCTTGATATGTCACAGACAGTAAACTGAGAACCACTGGTCTTGATATGTCACAGACAGTAAACTGAGAACCACTGGTCTTGATATGTCACAGACAGTAAACTGAGAACCACTGGTCTTGATATGTCACAGACAGTAAACTGAGAACCACTGGTCTTGATATGTCACAGACAGTAAACTGAGAACCACTGGTCTTGATATGTCACAGACAGTAAACTGAGAACCACTGGTCTTGATATGTCACAGACAGTAAACTGAGAACCACTAGTCTTGATATGTCACAGACAGTAAACTGAGAACCACTGGTCTTGATATGTCACAGACAGTAAACTGAGAACCACTGGTCTTGATATGTCACAGACAGTAAACTGAGAACCACTGGTCTTGATATGTCACAGACAGTAAACTGAGAACCACTGGTCTTGATATGTCACAGACAGTAAACTGAGAACCACTGGTCTTGATATGTCACAGACAGTAAACTGAGAACCACTGGTCTTGATATGTCACAGACAGTAAACTGAGAACCACTGGTCTTGATATGTCACAGACAGTAAACTGAGAACCACTGGTCTTGATATGTCACAGACAGTAAACTGAGAACCACTGGTCTTGATATGTCACAGACAGTAAACTGAGAACCAC